GGGGGGGGTGGGGTGTTCTTCGTGTAGATTAGCTCCATAAAACCCCAGCACTAAATTTCAAGTGTAAACTATAGCCATCGGTGAAGCCCAGAAATTCCAAATATTTAATTTCAAGTTTCAATTTTCAGCATGCCTTCCTTCCTGAAAATGTCACAAGAGATTAAATCATACCCCCCACCCCTCCACACCCACAGTGGGGTAGTTTAGGGGGTCAGGGGGAGGGAGAGTGGTTTTTGTCGCAATACTCTTCTTAAAATGCATTTGTCTTGTGTTTCATGGTGAGAATGGACAAAATGAACATATTCTGAATTCCTGATAATCTATTCAATTACAAACATTGCATCAATCAATTCTAACTTGCATTGATTTAAAATGATTTCAATTTAAAATTACTTTTCCAGTTCATATATTTGTCCTTGAATGGATTCTGTAATCCCGCGATATATATTTAAACGTAGTCTTTGTTACATGACAGCGAGCTATTGCGGAAGAAAAGCATATATTTTACTGCAAAAGCACAAGAAAGTACAGCGGTTTTGGAAAAATCTAAATATATAAATAGATTTTAACAGCCATATAGAAAAGATTTAGGGGCACCAGTAGCACGCCAGAACCTTGATTTAGTCAAGAGTAGCGTGTTGAAAAATCCTAATTTAAGAGTTTTCAATGATAAATCAAATACAGGGTTACCCACAAATAGTATAGTAATTCACCCAAATATTGAGTATTTGCCAGCTGACGTAATGGGGGGGGGGGGAAGAGGTGCAGTAGCAGATGTGATGTTTTAAATATTATAATAGAAAAACCGTTTGTAAAAAGATAGACATTTAAAGGAGTACGTATTAAAAAAAGAAGAAGAATGGCATGCGGGATTCACAACGGTACCTAACAGAGGCTAGGATAGATTTAGAAGCTACAACACATCTCTCTAGTTTCCCATCTTCAACCCTGCCATCTTGGCCAACCAGGATCACATTCTCCATGTCCGTCCCAACAAACATATCCTTCTTCTTCTCCTCCTCCTCCTTCTCTGTTCGGTATTTTGGTTCTCCTAGCATCCATTCTACCCTCTCTCCTTCTCGACATAGAATAACCATTTCACTTTTCTGAAATATTATAAAATAAAAGAATTAAAACTCTTTCTACAAAGTGAAATTATATATTCGTATTTATTTTAAATTTTAAAGTAGATTAAGTAAAGTAAAAATTTCTTCATTCAAATTCACAAAATCTTTCTTTTAAAGCTGCTTGAAATAATTGGTAATTTCCAAGAGAACGNCTACCGTGTCCTAGCCGCAGCGCTCGGCCTCTTAGTCTATCCTAGCTCCAGAAATTGTCTTAACCTAGCCTAACCCTAAAATAATAAAAAATAAATAATAATTTTGCTGAAAAATAAGTGGTCATGTACAAAATTGATAGGAGGGGGGGGGGTGTCCAAAAATCGTATACTAAGACGGATCCCAATAATTAATATTTTTACAAGTTATTTATACTTTTATCTTCCGTCAAAAGTAAAATCTCCAAAATAGTAAAATAAACAATCTGAGCTGAAAACTTTAGAATGAGATATTCCTAATCCCGGTTACTTGATCTGAGTATCCAATTTTGATTTACTTCTTAAACCGTTCTTTCTTGGATATTGTAGAGAAAAATCAAGAACAGTTTTTTTTTTTTAAATTAGAGAGTTCCTCCCATTTCTGTATATAATCTTAAATGGCGCGCAAAATTTCAAGTTTATCGGCTTTGTATACTTTGGTTGAATTTTATACACTTTTCAGGATACAAGTACAAGATTTGATTAGTCTCGATATTATGAAAAAGAGAGGATCACGCATTAATCTCGATATCCACCATTCTAAAGTTTTCAGCTCTGTTTTAAAAGTCTAACAAGCCAGGATTTTTAAAAGTAAAATAAAGTTTTGTCTATTTTAATGTTAAATTAAAATCTGTTTCAAATCAATCACATGTTTCAAATATCACATTTTCTTAAATAAATAAACAAAATCTCGTAAAATTGAAATTATTAGTGAAGTGAACTCGTATCTTCTTTCTAAAAGTTAAATAAACTTTCCATTTCGAAATTATTATGCTTTTTTATATGGTCTATTTCATTTCAGAATAAGATTTTCAACCATGAAATATGAATTACAATTATAATGGTAAGAGTTGAGTCTTAAGTTGCCTGTTTTAATATGCAACTTATTATTTATTTTTTTTGGATAACGCTGAAGAAATATTTTCAGATATTCTACAAAAAAACCTAAAACATGGTTCACCGGCTCTTGTTACAAGACGCATTCCGGAGCTACCTGCCTCACGACTATACTACACTAGGGCAAAGCAACAACTGACTGACTGATCTGATCTCATTAACTCATTTCCAGTTCCAGTCTTTCCAATTTGTTGATCCTGGTAGCAAGGACAGAGGAACCCTAAGTTAACCTCTAAAATAAAAAGGACCATCTTTAGCAAAATATTCTTTAAAATAAAAATTACCATCTTCAGCAAAATATTCTTTAAAATAAAAAGGACCATCTTTAGAACAACAGTCCCTCTACTCAAAGAAGGATATGCCAGATTATCAAGTGCACCCTAATCAATAATATAATTTAAAGTGTAAAATTTTTACAATCAAAACCATTGTTTTATACAAAAAAAACACTTATCACTTTTATATAATAAAAAGAGAGAAACAGAGTCCGAATTTAATAATTTAAGCCGCGTCTCAAATCCCCCCAAAACCGGTTTCAATTAAGCGCCGGCTTAAATCTTAAATCATTGAATTCGATTTTAAGCGGAACCAGCCATATTTGAGCCGAGGCTTAAATTTAAGCCGCGGCTCAAATTCTATAAATTCGGCCTCAGGACTAGCTTGATCATTCTTGATCTGACAAAGCTTTTAAAGGTACCGTTGTGAATCTAACATATAATGAGGGTCATTTGGAATAACGTTACTGGGGCACAAATATGCAGGGCTTTACTGACCACTGATGCAGTAGAGAATATAAAAATCAATCTTGAATCTTGAAATCAAGCATTGATCTTCATCTAATGCAGGCATGTGTTTAAATAAAATTCTCTTCTATATCATGTGGTGGTCAAACCCTGCAGGGATTAAGCATTGATCTTCAAATTATTAGTGCCCATATTGGATATCGAGATCAAGCTTTCCAGGCATCAGGACAATTATTATTCGAAATGGATTTGAACCAAGTAACTTCAAATCATAGAGAATAGAATATATTTTAGATGGGAATTTAAAGAATATCTCGGTATGAATTTTTTCAGTACCTTTCAGCCTGAAAGGGAGTTCAAAGTGTACAAATCATGTAAATGTTCACAAATTATATGCAGTAGAGTACATTAATACAGTATGTTCCCTAGACTATCCATTTCAATTTCGAATTTTTTAAAGCTGTTAAATAAACTTTATAAAGAGTTAGGTGAATAAAAACATCATTTGATTTATAGTTATAACGGAAAATCATCGTTTGTAAAGTGAAAGGCATAGAGTCTATGTGAAATGATCATTGGTCAATTATGAAACCAGCCTATTTTATAATTTGGTTTTCTTTAAACATAAATTTTAGATTTTCTATAAAATGATATTCTAGGGCCCAAAAGGTTAAATAGATAAATATGTGAAGTACACCTGCAGTATGGAAACAGTACAACAAAATGGGCGTTTTACACCTTTTTCTAGTAAATTCCCCTCTAATATATATATTCTCTTCTCTTTGCTTCAAATACTTCTCGACTCTTTAGATAGAAATAAAACTATTTTATTCCAATGTTCCTGTGTTACTATCTGATTGCTTCATTATTAACTTTTAAAACAACACAAACTGAATTACAATTTAATCCAGAACATTATTAATTTTTATCTGAAATATAAATAAAAATGAAGACAAAGTGGACAATTGTATAAATATTTAATTAATGCCACGATTACAATGTATTTGTGTTAATAATATTAATTAAGGCAGATTTACAGCGTTAAAATCACAGCTAGGTATCACGGTATTAAGCTTGGGGGTTTGTGTGGTGTTTTCTACCATTTCTACCGGCATCTATAAAAACCGGTTTCTAAGGGTTGTCTTTAACTTTCTCGATAAATCTCATTTGCGCGATTTAAATAAAACTTGGTTCTTTTTATTAAGAGAGAAAACATATTTTTTGAGATTGTTACGTTGATAATTGTACAAAGTAAATTGTAGAGCTTATGTGAAGGGTTGGTCTGTACAGTACGGTTTGTACTGTGTACTGTTTATAACACATCAACATTATAGAATCTGTGTAAAATTAATTTTAAAATTTACAATTTAAATAGGCGTTTACTGTATTTAATTACTGAACAGACTTCTCATAGAATCTTCCTTTTCTGCTTAGTTTGGGTGGCTTCTCGAGGGAATCAATCGTTTTAGAATAAAATCCATGAAAAATAAAGCCGCCATTTTAGGTTGGAAAATGTATAAATAGGTCCAATTATATCTTAAAGGTGCCACATTTTCAGAATAAGCTCCATCATTTTGGAATGGGCGCCATCTTTTTAGAATAGGTGCCACCATCTTGAAATATGCGCTAACATGTTTAAATAGGCGCCACCATCATGTATGAGGCGCTACAAGCTGAGAGTAAGCGCCACCGTTTTAGAATAGGCCAACATCTTTCTTGAGTTCGATTTGTTTCCAGCGCGGTAGAGCTTGGAATTCTTCTTTACTCATCTTAAATTTATCCTAAATAAAAGTTGTTTGAAAATAGAGAATATAGGATTACAGTGGAAGCAGTCGCAGTCGACTGTCAGTTGTTCCTGCCTGCTCCGTAATTCTTGGTTCTAGACTTTTCTGTTGTGTCTCAATGAAATATCTACAAGATATTAAATTATTATTATTATTAACATTCAACCTACAGTCAAAGTATCATGTTCTGTATGCTATGTTACGCAGAGCTTCAACCACTTACCCTTGTCTACATGGGTTTTAGTACGCACCTCTGCCAGGGAAAGGAAAACGGTTTTTATTATTTGTTATTTTAAATACAAAAAGAATCCTACCAAGGGGCGGCTGCTAAAAATAAAAGGAATGGTTGTTTTACAAGTAAAACTTCAATCTTACATAGACATGGCAAATAAGAAATAACTTAAAGTTATCAGTTTTTAATGATATAGCCTTTTTAAACAATGGCAAAGATAATTAGACCATGTAAGTATTCTTAAATAAATTGTAACCTGAACGAAATTCAAACATATAAAATGAGGTTAGCAAATTAATGCCACAATATGTTTCCATTTAAATTTTTTTTATTTTCTCTAGTTTATTAGAAACAGAATTTAAAGTAAAAAAAAATTAATAAATTTTGTATTACCTTAAATGTGTTGCTGGAAAGATAATGTTCTATCCTGGCTGGATCTACTCCAGGAGGGAAGGGTCTCTCTTGTAACTCCATCCAGGAGTATTCAGTCCTGCTCAGTTTCTGATATACATCCTCCAGGCTGCCCTTCTCAACCCACTACAATATATTTATCAGTCCTACTCAATTTCTGATATATATCCTCAACCCACTACGATATATTTAATCAGTCCTGCTCAGTTTCTGATATATATCCTCAACCCACTACAATATATTTTAAACAAAAAAAAACATTTTTTACGTTAAAACTCTGAAAATACTATTTCAAAAGCAAAGTTAACTAAATTATTTTTCTTCTCTTTGATTGCCTAATATAGAGGACAAGAGCAGTAATTGTATTAGAGATAGCGCTTTAACAATTACACTAGATAAACTTGAAATGGGGTTTATTATCAAAATAGTTGATCGAGTACCACAAAAATACAGACTTAGATTTCTGAAATAATCAAATCGAAAGTTATGATCTGATTAACCCCTAGACTAACCTCTGTATTATAGAGTTTAACATCAAGATTAATCTCCCATTGGGGAAAATAGTTGATAAACTCCTGAGGTTCATGTCCAGCCCAGACCAGGAGCAGGTCAACCTCCTTCCTTCCTTCCATTCTCTCAATCTCCTTCTTGTAGTCCAGGATACTAGACATAGCTGCTCGTCTTTCAGCATGCCATCGGACCAAACCTAGAATACAACTAATCAAGAACGATTAAGGACGATAAAAAAACATTTGAGAACCCTTTCATCCCCCCTCCTAAAAAAAAGAGAAATATCATTCTTTAACTTTTCATATTTGTAGGGAAGGGCAGAATAAGATGAAGAGAAAAATTATTCAACAAAAGACCAATTCAACGCATTCGCTTTCGGGGAATAAACTAAATTTGGATCCAAGTTTTAAATTTTTTATTTTATTCCAACCTGAACCAGTATTGTTCCCGCTGGCAGTTCCTTCGCTAGGAATATCTGAGTCAGGTTCCATCCAACCCTGCCATAAATAGATTCTCCGTCCTGTATCCAGCATATACAGTCCAGGTTGCTCCGCGGAGTACAGGGTATCCTGGGAGAAGAGGAGAGGGTTGGGTAAACCTAGTTTCATTTGCTCCGGTAGGTTTTCAACCACCTCGAAACTACCCAGCACGCTAGTCATATGGAACAGACGAGGGGTCACCACCAGGGGAATATCAGAACCTAGAAAAAGTAATACAATAAAACCTCCGAAACAACAGGTAAAAAACTCATTCATATAAGAAGGCTTGGATGTTGGATTTCAACCNAAAATGGTCTTTCTTTGGATTTGTTTTAATTAAAACTTCTCTTACTGAAGAGTTGATTAGTGAGGTTTCTATCTCCTCCTAGAGCAGACCAGAACTCTGAGCTCTCTGATCCATCCTGGAGTGTAGAGAGGGTTGCTGAGTCTCCTAGTCCTAGTTCTCCAGGTAGATGAAGAGCTAGACGTTTACAAACCTCTTCTCCCATCTCCACCTGGTGGGGGGCAGAGTTCCGTCCGATCCATAAATACAATTTACCTAAATACAACAATTATACGTTTTCCATTATGTATTTCTAGTTAATCAATATTAAAAAATAATGACGAAAGAAATATTAATTATAATAATAATAATAAAAATTATATATGAAATACATATATATATATAAAAATAATAACGATAAGTGATAATAATGCCCTTAACAATTAGAATACCTAGGGCTAAACAAAAACAAACAAAAAAGCAATAACGACCCAGACAACAAAACAAAACTAACATTGAGGATAAATTAATTAAATGAAATACCTCGTCTGCAGAGAACGAAAACTCCTTGAGATCTGAGATTCTTCCAGGAGCATTCAATCTCCTTAAGATAAGTCTCATTCCACTCCTGTCCGCGAACCAGGAACAACCGCCACTCCTTCAGATAAAACAGAAAATTTAAAAACATTTTTTGCTTTTTTGGCAGAATTCTTGATTATTATGAAAACTCTGGACCCCCGACCTCTCTATTCCAACAACCCCATGTGTACACTTTTCCAAGTCAGGTGGGGCTAAGATAGTTAGTTATTTTCTGAGATTGTTGTTTTGCAAAGGGGGGTTGGTGGGAGGTTTTAATATTTTAGTTTATAAGAATCTATCAATACTTAAGATTATCTAGAAACTCTTGAAATCTACTTATTAAAAACTTTTTGTAAATAAAATCAAATAAAAAATGTGAGGGTTTGCCAACAGCATCCAAGTTTCCGAATCAAGTTTTAAGTCCTTCATGAACATTGGTTTTTCAGCTTGAACATTTTCTATAAAAAAAAGTAAAAAACTGTTCGTTTTAAAGGGTTCAGTTAGAGTGGAGCATAATTTTAAATTCGTTGACAGTCTATCAAGTGATAATGGTTTACCTTAAAGTTACGCTCTCCCCTCCTCCCCTTGTATATGATCATATTCCCTGAGAAGAGAGAGAGAAATGCCGCGTGTTCATTTCCTTCCTGAACCCTCAGCTGGGGACCCTTCTCACTATCCAGTTCAACAGTTTGCAGGGCAGACGCTCCCTGAATAAAAATAGTTTTTTGGTCAGTTTTTTTAAATCTAATAAAAATTCTCGAAAAATAGTAAAATTAAGCAAATTAAGCAAATTAAGCAAAATGTTGACGCTGCACAACGAATCGATTCGAATTGGTTGAATGGTCTCTTTCAATGGAGGATAAATAAAATTACGTTTACAGTTCCAAAAATATATTATTTCTGTTATTACCTGGAGTGATATTTTACTGTCCTCCCCCTGCCAGAAGAAGTAAGCACAACGATCTCTACCAACAGCGCTGTACTTGGAGGCTCCTCCCTTCAGGTTCCGTCCGGTCAACGCAACCTAAACCAATTCTTTTAGGGGACTGTTACAGAGATATTTCAAGAATATTCTACAGATTTGACAACTTATTTATCCATATAGATGTTTGGTATTTTCCCAAGGATAACTTCCCAAATGACAATTTCCCAATTGTGACAACTTCCCAACTGTGCAATTTCCCAAAAGTTAGGTTAGGCCTTCTCAGGGCCGAGCGCTCCGTCTGAAACATGCAAGGGGCCAAGCGCTGAGGCTAGGATAGACTTGGAAAATTACACATTTGGGAAGTTGCCACGAAGTAAAAAACATTTGGGATGTGCCACTTGGGAAAATGTCTTTGGGAAAGTAGCTAACATCATGCAATATGCAAGCAAGACACCTGGCCGCTATCTTATTTAAGTTTTCAAAAGAAAAATTATAAAATTTTGACCTGGTCTAGTGAAGAATATATACCTTATATTTCCAGCGCACTACATAAGTATCCTGAGAATGAAACTGTCCACTAAATGATTCAGGAAGAGGACGAGAATCATTCTCTTCTACATACCAACATTTTACCCCCAGGGTCTCAACTATATACTGCCTTCGCTCCTCGGTATCATAGAACTCACGGCCTCGACCCAGGTGGGATCCTTCAAGCTGGAGGTCGGGGTCCAACCTCTCGAGGTTGGAGATCATGTCCCCGGTCCAACCGGCAAGGTCGGCCCAGGCCCAGCTTGGAGGGGTGTTCACATCAACGTCTTCTTTCTCCTTTCCGTTTGCGGACTTTCCTGACCAAATATGACTTTTTAAAATATATAGCTCATGTTTAGTTAGACGACTTTACAATTTAATTTTAAAAATATGATTATTCCAAATTCCAAAATGTGGTCTGACTTTTTTGTGCGTTAAAATTACCAGATATGTAAAGTCGTCTGAAATAACTGTCAATAAATTCTGACTGTATATTTGCGGATAACATAAGAACAAGAAAAATTCCAAATTGAGTATTTTTTTAAGATTAAAATCATGTCTGGAATATTAAAGGGAGTGTTCGCAAAAATGAAAGGGGGTATAGGCTTAATGCGATAAAAAGGCGCCTTTGATCGCTACTAATCTTACTTCTATCTGTTAAAATTGTTAAAGACGTCTCATACCGAATAACTTAGCCTCCATACAAATTGAGAAAATTGCAACATACGACTTAGACCGTAAAAAATCAATTTATTTTCAAACAAATCATTCAGATATTACAACCTATAGTCATCGATTATCTTTCGCCACATTTGTATATAGTTTATATTTTATAATATTTTTGATTTCGTTTTTTAAAGATATTTCTCTGGCGCTGGATTTTCGAACATTCCTGGAAAATATGAAAATGTCGTCTTAATTATGAAAAATCCTCGAAAAAGGAATAAAAGTAACTATCAGATGATAAAAAATAGAAAATATCATGAAATATCAACTAAATACGAATGCGTCGAAAAATTATCGATGATTATTGGTTGTAAATGATTTGTTTGGAATTAAATTGATTTTTTTACGATCCGAGTTACATGTTGCAACTTTCTGCATTTGTATTGACGTTACGTTCTTCGGTATAAGTCGGTTTTAACAATTTGCTCCTTATAGACGCAACAGATAGAAGTAAGATTAGCAGCGATCAAAAGCGATTATTTTTTTGCATTAAGCCTATACCCCCTTTCATTTTTCCCGAACACTCCCTTTAAACTAAAACAAAATTTGAATCAATACTAAGAAACAGTGCGAGTTTGGTACACGATGTTAACGCAGACTTCATACAACAAAATTTTAAAAACAAATAAAATGTGCTTAATGTTAATGTTTTTTCCCGTTTTAAACCAAAAATGGAATTTTATGAATTAGTAATAAGTATTTGAACCAAGAACGGAAGAATAAGATTTATTTTCTTATTCTAACAACAGTTCACAATTCGACTCAAACTTGTTTAGTAGTTCTGACCTTGAATTGGTCTTTTGGAAATGAAATAATTTAATATTCTAATCACGATATAAAATCAAATCAAGCAGTACTTTTGAGCTTAAGCCGATAGTTAAACTGGGTTATTAAATATACCAGTTGGAATTAAATAAACTGCATTTATAAATGTTCAACTCTGAAAGGAACTGCACTAACCTATAACTCTAGTTTTATCTGGCCAGTCTGTGAATTTCTCTCTGAAGAGAATGGTTTCCATATTAGAGTTGATACGTCCCAGGATAGTCCAATCCGGCCTGATAATATACTTTTAACATTAAAAAAACTCCTAAAACTTCTTAACGGAACTGCAGTCGTAATTCTAAGCAACCTTTTTTATAAAGTGGCATGTCTCACTGACAGATACAGATAAATGAGATATCCATTTTTTAGCTTGAAATTTATTATTTGCTTCTTACATTTATGTAAGATACAAGTTATAGCGGGCACAGTGAATCAGACATGCCACCTTAAATTAAGTTGGTAAAGCACAATTATAAAAAATGATATACTATAAAAATTATCCAATACTAAATTCTCAGTTCAACTACCACCATACATTGCCGATCACTCCCTTTTAAAAGGGGGGGGGGGGGTAGCAAGTTTTATTCGAAAGAAGCGATTAAAGACATAATCAAGTTTATAAACCTGGAAAAAAAAGTTTTTAAATCTTCAAAGTATTTTTACAGTTCCAAAACCAACATTAAATCTATGAAAAATGTAATCTAAATGAAACATAATGAAATAAAAAAATAATTTCCTCTAACCCCCATCCATCACCACCTACCCGCTTTGAACTAACCTAACATAACCTTTTTTAAAATCTAGTATTTAATTTAAAATGTAAGTCGGAAAACTCTTGAATCAGAAAACCTTAGGTCAGAAAACCTATGTAGGTCAGTTTCTTCTAGGTCGGTTGAGCCGAGTTCAAGATCGCATTTTTTACCTTGAGTTGACGATCATATCCCGATGAACCCCGTAAACCGGATTGAGGTTACATCCTTCATAATTCCAACCTGAGCTCCATAGCTCCTACAGTGTTTATTAGATACTTACAATTCAAGAAATAAAGGAACTGTTCTCAAATTTTGTACTCTAAGTTTAAAAAAAAATTATTGTGGATAAATCCTTTAAAGGGTTTATAAGTGAGCCTCTATTCAAAGATGGAGGGTCACTTGGAATTACACTGAAGTCCTTGTAATATATTTTTAGTTTTGCGTTTAATAACTTGAAGATACTTTAATTAATCTGTGAAAATATATTAATTTTAATTGTATCTGATCCAAGGTTGCAGCGCTCATATTACACATTATTTTGTTAATTGATTCTTTTATCAGTGCTGGAAACTTTTGAAAGCTGAAAACTTATTTGAAGTGATTTTTTTTTAATTAAAGTTGTTTATTGAGCCTCGTGGATTGATCTTAACCGACTCACAAGTTTCCTTCTTCTAACAATGAAATCATCCAAACTGATCTATAAAATCCAAAAGTAAACGACTTCCCATCAAAATAAAAGAACAATTAATTGATAAATATATAAATGAAACTATTACCGATCCAAATCTCTTTTTCATGTTTAACCTAGGTTTTCCTTTCTACTTTATTTATAATTACTTTCGGTCAAGGTTATTGGGATTATTTTCACAATTAAAGCATATTACATAAGGGGAGTATCAATTTTAAAAATTACCAACTCCCGGCGATTAAAACCCTGAATAAAATCATTCCTAACTTATAAAAGGGGGCGGGAAATTATAAAAATACCCCTGCATTACAAAATGTAACCGCCTTCAGGCTTTTAAAGGTTCTACAATCTACATACAATTTATGAAAATTCAGTTCAGTTATTATGGCGTTTTTTCTTATGAAAATAAACAACTTAAAAATAAATATCTGTCTTAATAGTCTAATATATCCCTGAGCTAGCCTAGCTCCGACCTTCCTGGCCTCGAAGCTCGCGTTCTTCCCGCTGTATGCGTACACCTCGCTCCCGAAGTCGAAGACGAGAACCTTGGCTGGGTCGAGGAGGGAGTAGCGAGGGGGTAGACCCCAGTGCTCTTCTATAGGAACCAGCTCATCGGTCAACATGTTCACCTCGTACACACAGCTAGCATCTACTATACTCTGCTCATAATCCTAAACAATATAATAACATTAGAAACATGAAATAAAAACAGAAAACTGTAAAAATATAAGGTTTTCCAATTTCTTAATTTTCTATCTAATAAGTATATTTTTCATTTTCTTACAATTATTTAAAGTCTAAATCTTTGTCTTAGATCTTAGCTTATCAGTGTCTCATTCATTTTAACTTATAAAAACTCGAGTGTTGCAATAAACAGTGAAGAATATTCTACCCTGTTCTAACTAGCTATTAGGATTAAATTTGAACTATAAATCCTGAGCACGAAATTGTTCCTACACCTGATATCTCTGTGTATTACAAGGATCTACAGATATCCAGGAATTTAAGACTTTGGGTCTTTGGATGATGAACAGTCGAATTAATAAAGAGACTGCTAGCGATTTTCTCTAAATGACCCTTTAACTGGAGATATATAATTATGGATAGAAAGATAGAGAGGGGAACCAATGGGTTAAATGCCCGCACACCACGAGCACAATTTAAACTGCATCCTTGTTAGTGAGCGGGCGCGCTAACATGATTAGTTTAAACCATAAGTACGAAAGGAGAGAAGAAGGAATAGGGGAGGGGGGGGTAGATAATGGAGGTAGGAGAAGGAGGAGGAGGGTAGGTGAATTTTCTAAGAAACTTTAGTTGAAAAAATCGGGAAAATTTTCACTTGGGCAAAACTTCAGAGATGGACCATTTATCTTGCAAGGAGAGAATCAGCTTAACTTAATCCGACCATTAAAAGTTATCAGCTTCACGTTTACACTAGATTGATAAAATGAAAGCTAAGTTTGATATTTATAACGTGAACAATGATTGTTTTAGATGAGGATTAAGAATTGGATTTGTGGCTGCAGATTAAGATTTTGTGGTGACCAAGGAAGATTTGATACAGGAAATGAGGAAAGGGGGGGGGAGGGTTCTTTTGAACCATCCCCGGGGGAAGGGGGAATCTGAAGAACTTTTTTTTTCAAATTCTTATTTTTTTGTTTAAATATCTAACGTAGATATTAAATAGAGAGATAAAAAAATTTCTACAAAAATTGACCTAACATTTAAATCAACCAAACTTATATGAAGCAATTCTACCAATTTATTCTTTCTCATCACTCTAAAACTTTAAAAAATAGATTTTATTCAGTTACCATGCTTGGTGGTAATCATAGAAAAGTGGATCTGAACCTAACAAGCATGTTAAATTGAAACATGTGTATCTAATGTTTAAAATATTCTTCTTATGACGCTTTACGCACGGTAATACCACCTTGACGCATATTTCAATGATAAATGCAGAATGCTCCTGACACGGAACCAACAAAAAGATCAATTTGAAATGTAAATTCAGCTTTTTATTCAACAAGGTAATTTTCGTGTTCCAACTGACATGTTAATTTAATAGATAGACCATTTTACCTTTACGCAGTCTGCGTACAGGCACCACAAGCCATTAATACGCAAATAAGTAAAAATAGGAGAGGAGGGGGGGGGGGAATAATCAGACTAAAAAAGTAGAAAACAGATGGAAAAATCCGAGACCAAAAATATTTGTGGATTCAATGGTCAACAAAGTAGAACCAAAATAAATAAATTTATTGTATAATGTATGTGTAATGTGTATAATGAAATATTGATGAATGGATTAACAGAATGTACGCTAATAAGATTTCCAGTTATAAGATGATCTTTGCGCATTTTAGATTGATTTTGCGTATTCTAGATGCTGCTAGTCAATTTCAAATTATATATGTATATTCAAGATTATTTTTGCGTATTCTATATGCAGATTGTGTTCAAGATCAGAGCGTGCGGCGCACTTTAGAAAATATTTGCGTACTGTACTAAGTGGTACTCCCTGTACTAAGTGTACTAAGTGGTACTCCCTGTACTAAGTGACAAGGACTAGGATGATGTGTTATGTTTTCTGGTACTCCCTATACACAGTGTCAAGGATTAGGACGGTTCATGTTTCCAGGTACACCTATAATAAGTGTCAAGGACTAGAATGTCATGTTTTCTGGTACTCCCTATACTAAGTGTGAAGGACTGGGATTGGTCATTATATCTGAAACACTCTGTACTTTATGTAGAACTAAGATGGACAAGAATGGTTTTATATTTCCTATCTTGGCCTCCCCTCATTAAACAAGCCTTTTTAATTCTTAAAACATGTGAAGCTCATAAAACTGTAGAATAGGAAGACAACTAAAGGACTAAAACATGAAACACAGCAATTGATTAGTGTTCAGTGTACACAGACCCATTTTCCTTATTTTCATTCTACTCAAACATTCAACTTTATATACAATGTCATTTTCCTATTCCACAGTTTTATAGGTCTCATTGAATCCTTACCTCGTCCTCCTCTGAAGGTCCTGCCCCCCTGGCCTCGAAACTGTCCTCTGATCCTGTGAGAACACTACAGAACCTCCGATACTCCCTAGAGCAGTGAACCAGCTTCTCCTCTTCTATAGTCTGCACTCTAGATCCTCCTTTACACCCCAGATCCTGAACAAATCAATAGGTCATCAATCAATCAATCGTTAAATCAAAAAGTCATCATTAGAACCCGCCCAAACAAAAACAACTATCACTTTCGTCTAACATTCATAGAATAGAGTTTAAAGATTAAATTTTTTTTACTGGGATAGAAATGTAAGTTTTTATGTACTTAGAACTATCCCTGAGATTTGAAGAACGAATATCAAAAAGTAGTTGAATTTACCATTTCGAGCAAAACAAATTTTCTCGGGCCTACTTAATTCGAATACTGGTTATTTGTTCATTACCACTCAATTTTAACGCTTTTAATGTTTGATAATAATGATGATAATAATAATAACAATTATAACAATAAAATGATTATAACGATAATGTTTTACTATAATTACCTTCTTCTGAATGATAGTGAGAGCGACCTCTGCGGACCTAGATCTCTCGATCACGTTAGAGAACTTCCCCTGCCAGTTGAAGACCTCCTTCCCTGTCACCAGGATATAACAGTCCCCGGAGTTAATGGACGCTGCCACTGGTTCAACCAGTCTACACTGACAAAACCGTCGGCCTTTCACCTGAAATCAAATCAAATCAAATCACATCACATCAAATCAAATCAAATCAAATCACATCACATCACATCACATCACATCACATCACATCACATCACATCACATCACATCACATCACATCACATCACATCAAATCACATCAAATCAGGAACGTCCTAAGACCACACTCCAATCCCAAATGAATTTACAAAGAGACTGAAATAAGGTTTCTATAGTTTGCAATCGCACAGACTAAAGTCTTAGATTTTGTTAAAAAATGACTTACTTCTTTTTTACTTTTAGAATAATAAATTTCAGTATAGTTAAAAAGTAATTATTTAGTGAGTACATATTTCCCCTCATATATACCCAAGAATGAGATTTTACTAACGATCTGTAATGAATAGATATAATGAGATCGCACAAGTGGGTAACCCTGTAAAGATATATGTATATATAAGAAAATATATTCTAATCTTATTGAGACATTTTGGTAAAAAAGTTTTCGGAAGCAATGATATTGAAGAAGCATCCATCGCGGTTCTAAATAAAAGGTACAATAAATGAATTTACCCCTTAAATAATTGTTGGTCACATAGGATGCAATTAACGATGATGTAGAGTATATTCGATTTACAATCGTCATCATTTAGCTTGAGAGAAATGTCATTTAAACAAACATAAAAAATCGTTTGAAAACCTTGCTTTAATACAACGGATTAACAGTTTTTGTGAACGTCTAGAGATCAAATCAGAGGTAAATACAGTCTTTAAACACTTTTTCCTTTAAAATATTTAGGACGTATTTTTAAGTCAACCTTTCAGAAATTTAAACTTGTAGCAATTGTACAACGTACATTGTACAATTACATATTCAAAGCGTACATACAGTTGTTGGCGTTTATATTAATACAATGAAGGCGACTTTTTTATTTAGGAATTGGTTTCTAACAAAAATGTTTGATGTTGCAAGTTTACAAGTAACAAAGTGAAGCTGTTAATTGACAACTTCTCCAAGTTTCCATATATTTTATATGTATCTATGCTGTCTTAAATCTTGCTATAAATCAAAAATTGAAATCTAAACTTGTCGTCATTGTAATGATATAAACGACGACGACTGTATATTACATACCTGTATCAGCATTTTTCCTTTGTAGGGTTGCATATTCTGATTAATCAGCAGTTTATCCTTCCTAACAAAAACAAGAAACATGAAGTAAAAAAAGAAATATTGTTAAAAAGCGCGTTAAAAAATTATAATTTTAATTTTTTTTATTTGATAGCTAGCTTTTACCTTAGCTGTACTGACGTAAAATCCTCTGTACTTGCGAGCCCAGCGAGTGCTTCAGCTGCCAGGTGACTATGTTTACTAGAGCGGTCAACCTTGTTCATGTTCTCCTTGTTCTCTTGGTACTTAAGATCCTCCTCCCTGGTGACTAGGTCCTGCCTAGCCAACAGGTTCTTCACGGGGTTCCGGCTCCCCCTTGTCCGCCTACTCTCAACAGAGCCAGGATCAGATTATTTTCAACAATTTTAAAAATAAATCCTGGGGGCCGAATTTAATTAATTAGAGCTACGTTGCTGAACTACCAACTGTCGGTTCAAATTAGAACCAACCGATTCAAAGTTAATAATTCAGGAAGGTTATGAATCGGTGATTGTACCAGCGGCCCCGTAAATTCATTAATTTGGATCCCGGGAACCTTTAAAGCAAAGGTTTTCTCAAGCAAAGGTTTAGCTCATCTCCATCCCCCCCCCCTCTGAATTTCTGGTGGAAACGTGATCAAAATATGCATTTAGGAAGTCTTAAAGGATCTTAAGACGTAATCTAAAGTGTTCCTCCATTTATAGAGTGTCATGTAAAATTCCCTACGGTACCCTTTAAACCTACATCTGAGTAACAAGTGTTAAATTCTAACAATGACGTCCCAGCCCTTTATGAAAGAAGATGCTGAGTGGTGGACTGGATACGGAAAGAGATGAATAAAATGCAGTTTAGACAAATTGAATTTAAAATCAAATTATACAGTTCTCCCGGAATTCGAATCAATTGAAATCCAGCTCAACTCCAAGGATGTAAGTGGGTGGGGGGGGGGGGGGGGGGGACATCAATTCGGAAATAAATTTCATCTGTCAGCCGTAAAACATATTAAGCCCAAGTCCAACCTAACCCCATTTCCTGGCCTTTAACTGGTAAAATTTCGAATTTTAACAAATAAGAAAATAATTCAGATAATTTCATTTTTTTAAAATTATCCAGCTTTTGTCGCAAAAAGGTTACTGTTACGGTTATAAGAGTTAAGATATCTTGTCTGTCTGTGTATTCTATGAGAAGAACCTTCTGTACTTAGAGGGTTAGTATCGAAGTCATAATAGAAAATTCAAGGTTGATAAAAGATCCAAATATTTTATTTTGATCTGGTTTTGTTTCCTGGGAGGTTGAACTGTTTTTCTTGAGAGAAGGGTTGGTTTATAATTATTTATTCTCTCCTCGTCAAAATCTATTTCCTCCTCCTCATCTATACCTAAAATATATATACTTCAATATATTGTAAATAAATAATTCACGGCGCTTCGTGCTTATTTTTAACTGCCAACAATTTTAGGTTTTAAATGTTGCTTTTCAAGCCACCATGTTTTTATTTTGTAAGACTAAAATGTCGCAAATTTTCAGATTTGAAAAAGGATTCGATCAATATCCTTTTTTGCTACCTGTGCATTAATATGAATCTTTGATAGAACCAAAAAAGAAGTAATTTAAAAAAAAAAGTTAATTTGATGTATATTACCTTGGAACTGTATCTCCGGACTAGGAGGAGTAGGACTAGGGAATACAGGACTATGCTCCCCGGATACCTTTCTCAAGGAACTAGATCTATTCAAACCGGAACCAGTCCCTTTATTATTCACATTTTCACTGTGAACAAACAATGAGACGGGGCGGGCCCTGACTGGAGTATTGGATCCCTTGAAGATCGTCATCGTCGGGGTCCGCCGCTCCCGCTCCACAGTCTTTACTTTGTTTACATTGGCGTTTACAGGTGTAGAAACAGGTTCTGGTGTACGGAGCCTAGAATCTCCAGACATAACGGATTTATCTAGTTTTTCACGCTCCATCTTACCCTCCACTGTGAACTTTTTTGTGTCCTAAAAAAAAAATCTTGCTTTAAGCATAATTTTGACAGCATTCTTTTCACCTTCCTTCAGCAACAGAACATGTTTGACAATTTTAAAATAACAATTTTCTGATAATTATTCGAAAGAAGCAAAAAATGTTTGATAAAAAATTCAGTGGAATGTTAAATGTTAAATCTAAAAATTTTCTGATGTATTATTTCATGTGAAACATGGCATTTAATCATAATATTGGTGGAAGCATATGTAAAAGAAAATTAAGTGCTTGATAAGTAAGGATCAAAAATAAAATCAGTGTTATCAATTTATTTAAAAAATAACTTTTTAATAGTTAAATCGTTCTCTTAAGTGACCCACCACGTACATATGGCAATGCCCGATTTACAACAGTATATTAAGCTTAGTATCTTTGTCTAATCAAGTATGGAAAAGTTCAAAATTAAACGCTTATAAACGTTATTTTCCACGTTTTAGATTAGATAAAGCACCGTTGTGAATCGGGCATTGCCATCTTTGAAGTCTCACTTACAGTCCCTTTAAAGATTTCCATTAAAAATTCACTACCTTGACCTCAACCTTCTTCTGCCAGTTCCCCTGGGCCTCGTTGAGTTTACTCATCCTGTCCATCAAGCTGACCGGTCGAGCTGCTGCAGCTGATCCCTGGATTATCATTATTATTGATGTTATCATTCATTATCAAATTTTTTTAATGAAGGTCTATATGTTTGCAGGTACAGTGGTCGGTGTTTATATCAATACAATAAAGGCGACTTTTTTATTCAAGTTTTGATTTCTAACTAGGTTTTTATTCAAGTTTTGATTTCTAACTAGGTTTTTATTCAAGTTTTGATTTCTAACTAGGTTTTTATTCAAGTTTTGATTTCTAACTAGGTTTTTATTCAAGTTTTGATTTCTAACTAGGTTTTTCGAATAACAAGTTTACAGGTAAACAATGAGAAGCTGCTAATTTACAGTTTATCTTAGTTTCCAAGTTTATGTGTATATCCATGCTGGTTAAAAGCTTGGTAGAAATCAAAATTTTTTTTATCAAAAGTTGTTTTTATTGTATTGATATATACGACGATGACTATATGAAATTTAATTGCAGGAAGGGTTTTTTAAAACCTATAACTTACGGGAAAATCTGTCAATCTTAAAATCTAGAATTTGTCATCAAGTTATAACTTAAAAGCTAAAACTGTCTGTATTTAAAAAAATTGTTATTTGCAGGAATATCTAAAAATCTAAAACTTAAGAAGGCCTGTCTGTCATCTAAAAAGTTGTAACTTGCAGGAATATCTAAAAATCTAAAACTTGTTAGAAGGCCTGTCTGTCATCTAAAAAGTTGTAACTAGGAAGAATCTAAAAATCTAGAACATGCAGGGAGGTCTATAAATAATCTAAAAATTTAGAATTTATAGAAAGGACTGTCTATTGTCTTGTATAAGAATGAAGGGAGGAAGGGTGTAAAGTATGCTTTAACATGTGGATATAATTATCAGCAGTGTTCTGATTATTGGAAGGTGGGATGCATCTAAACCAAGAATTAATTAGAAAACTTACAGTTAAAGATTTCAACTAGTGGAATTTAACTAATGGAGGAGATTTCAACTAGTGGAATTTAACTAATGGAGGAGATTTCAACTGGTGGAGAAGTTTTGAATCAGTGGATGAGATGTTAACTAGTGGCGGAAATTTTATCTAGTGGAAAAGATTTTAACTAGTAGAAGAGATTTCAACGAGATTGAGATTTCGACTTGTGGAGGAGTTTTGGATGAGTGGATAAGATTTAAAAAGTAGACACGGAAGGGATTTCAACTGTTGAAGGAGAAAATAAAATACAAAGAAAAAACTTTCTACTCCTTCACACCTCTAAATTCACCGAAGCGAAACCCCTTCCCCCCCCTCCCTCTCTTTAGGGTTGGAGAGAATAAAACTTTTAGGGAGAAAGTCTGTATTTTAATCTGAAATTATCTGGGTTTTTTCAGTCCCTATTTCCCCATTAAGTAAAGTTAGTGAAAAAGCTGACAGGTTAAACTTCATTCTCCACTATGAACCTTTTGAGGGGTTAGGTTTAGTATATTGACTGATTTAACTCTTGCTTTTCCAGACAAAGTTAAGATAAAAACAACTTCTTCTCCACTATTATTCCTTGACACTTTATGTGGAGTTAGGTTTAGTATCTTTTTTGTTAGAAATAAGTTTCTTAAAGTTTTATAAAGACCGAAGTTTAACCCATTTCCCCTAAAAATAAAAACTTTGAGGTTGTTATACACCCTTGATATTTCAAGAGGGTTCGGTTTATACAGGTTAATATAATACCTTGATATTTCAAGAGGGTTTGGTTTATCCAGGTTGATAAAATACCTTGATATTTCCAGAGGGTTCGGTTTATCCAGATTGATATAATACCTTGATATTTCAAGAGGGTTCGGTTTATCCAGGTTGATATAATACCTTGATATTTCAAGAGGGTTCAGTTTATCCGAGTTGATATAATACCTTGATATTTCAAGAGGGTTCGGTTTATCCAGGTTGATATAATACCTTGATATTTTAAGGGGGTTCGGTTTATCCAGGTTGATAAAATACCTTGATATTTCAAGAGGGTTTGGTTTATTCAGGAATACCTTGATATTTCCAGAGGGTTCGGTTTATCCAGGTTGATATAATAACTTGATATTTCAAGAGGGTTCGGTTTATCCAGGTAATATAATACCTTGATATTTCAAGAGGGTTCGGTTTATCCAGGTTAATATAATACCTTGATATTTCAGGAGGGTTTGGTTTATCCAGGTTGATATAATACCTTGATATTTCAAGAGGGTTCGGTTTATCCAGGTTGATATAATACCTTGATATTTCAAGAGGGGTTGGTTTATCCAGGTTGATATAATACCTTGATATTTCAAGAGGGGTTGGTTTATCCAGGTTGATATAATAGCTTGATATTTCAAGAGGGTTTGGTTTATCCAGGTTGATAAAATACCTTGATATTTCAAGAGGGTTCGGTTTATCCAGGTTGATGTAATACCTTGATATTTCAAGAGGGTTTGGTTTATTCAGGTTTATATAATACCTTGATATTTCAAGAGGGTTCGGTTTATCGACTCTTTTTCTCCAATCCTCATCCCCATGCTTCTGTAACTGAGCCAACCTAATCATAATAAATATTCTCAATTTGGGTGAGGGAACATTTGTTGAATAAAAGTGACTCAAGGTACCCTCAATATTAATGTCATGTCTGATTCACATCAGTGCCATAAAACCCTTTGTCTGATATATAATATTTCCTATAACAGGAACATTTATAATTTTCAATTTCTCTGTAAATGTTTTGTGTCGCAAACCATGTTGTAGTTGCATGTATGAAGTAGGGTTGGTTGTCAAACTAAGTTGTTATAAAACCATGAATTCAAGGAGTGTTGCAATAGTTTAAAAAATAAGTTTGGCATGAAAACTCAAAACTAACAAGTTTCTGGTGGGAATTTTAAATTTGGCTTTCTAACTAGTAACAACATTCATGATTAAGATAAGAAGAGATCTGAAATAAGCCCCAGATTAACTAAATAGTTTTATTAAATAATGACCGAAATCCTAAATACGAATTTTTCTAAATGTATTTTCTAAATGACCCAAATCCCAAAAGCGAATATTTGTATTGCCCAAGTTGTTAACTTCCAATCACGATGATGATGTGAATAAACAATACACATGTAGGAAACCTACTCCGAGATTGTGCATTCTACAGTTAGAAAACAGTTTGCGTAATTTCCCTTGAACCTTCGTGCAAAGATGGCTTTGCCTGATTTACAACAGTATCCTTTATAAAGCCTTGTCTGATTAAATATTAAATAGATAGATATCTATGTTTATTATTTCGAAAAATTATCATTTTAAATTCTGGGTTCTCTACAAAGTGTTTTGCGCATTTCTACTGCAAGAAAACAAATAGAAATTGTTTGGACTAAAAACTTTAACCTAAAAAAGGGCAACATCTTTTTTATCTAAAAAAGAACAATATCAATTTTTGTTGACTTTCCTGTTTTGCACTAGGTTTTCTTTCCCTGTAGTGCTATTGAGAAGCTATTCTGAAATCTCAGGGGAGTGCGAAGGTCCTGCCGCCCCCGCCCCCCCCCCGTATCCGCCCAGTGCACTATGTATTTTTCAAATATGAATCCAGTTCCGTATAATCTATTGTGACTCTTGTGACATGAATGTACAAATGTAGTTCTAAGTCTCGTGTTTGATACTGATAATTAAATCTTTAATACTTCTTGGAAACCTATATTGCATCAAGTTAAGTACATTTAAATAACATATTTAATATACAATATACATCCTGGCAGAGGCAAAATAGATACCATAATCAAGGCATATTTGCAAGACTTAACTTTATTTTACTAAAGAAACTATTGTTGTAATTTCATGCGACCCTCCAAGCCCCAACAACAAATAAGGAGGGGTATGCTATTTAAAAAATTTTAACATTAGAAATAAATATAACATTTTTATTTCTAAAAGTTGCTTGTTCATCGTCGAAAAATACTACCAATCCACCTCCAGTTTAATTATTAAATATAATGGAAACAATAAATATTTAAATTTCCTTTTCCTTTCCTTTTCCTTTAATTTATATTTTTTATATTTTCTTAGAATTGGGGGGAAATATTCCCGCAACCTCTATTTTTTGAGGTTTTTAAATATTTTCTCCTAAAACACTTAATTTTGTATGTTTTTGTTATATTTTATGAATGAATAATTACTAACTTACTAGATTTAAACCTACACCTGTTTCAGCATTAGGAAAGATGTTGTCTTTTTTAGTTTGAAAACTGTACAATTCTTATAATTGCCTTCAATGCTTCTACAATAGGAATCCGCAAATGATCACCCTAAGCTTTTAAAGGCATCATTTTAAATCGTGCATGTTACTCCTTGTATGGAGAACCTCTTGAGTTTGCGCCCACAGTCCCTTTAAGCATTCGGCTTTCATTTTAGGAGTTCTTACCTTTCCATAATCCCTCCGCCTTGGATCTGAACATCTGTTCTAGCGGACATCTTGTCACGTTCTTGACTACTCGCCCTCTTCAACTCCGCCTCCTTCTCCTCCCAGAACTCCACCCCCTTCCTGCACTGCGGACTGGCAGATCGCTGGCGAAGGCTCCGCCTTTCACTTCCCTTCGGAGAGGGCGTTCCTGAGCTTAGGGCAGGTTTAGGTGAGGGTGTGCTTGAGATAGGGGCGGGACTGAGCGAGTTTCTACGTTTTTGCTGCTGGTAAATAGCGTAGAAATCTTCAGGTTTAGGCAGGTCAACTTTGCGGGAGGAACGGTTAGATGAGTTGTGGGGTTTAACAGAGGGGGTTGGTGGCAGGGGGGCGGGCGGAGGTAGGTGGACAGGCAAAGGTAGTTGGATGAGTGGAGGAGCTGGATTTTCTAGAGGAATGGAGGTGATTGGTTCAAGTAATGTTGGAGAAATGGAGGTGGTGGAAGAGTTGTGGTTAGTGGATGGTTGGTAGGGGGAGGAACTGGAGGTGGTGGAAGAGTTGTGGTTAGTGGATGGTTGGTAGGGGGAGGAACTGGAGGTGGTGGAAGAGTTGTGGTTAGTGGATGGTTGGCAGGGGGAGGAACTGGAGGTGGTGGAAGAGTTGTGGTTAGTAGATGGTTGGCAGGGAGAGGAACTGAAAAAAAACATTATTATTATTCAAGTATATTTTTTAGTTTAGAAATCATACATATTTACAAAAAGATTTTACCCCTTGAAAACAAGGAAAGCAAATGCGTATGAAAGGATGAATGTACGCATTTACAATATAAAAATGTGAATTCGTGCATATTGCAGTTCAGCGTCAGGGCTGCAAATGTGTGCACTTGTACAATGTGTAGGGTTGCAGGGTCAGATTCAAGATTTTAGAGATTTCAATTTTTTACTTTTTTTATTTTAAGACGCCATCATCATTTTTCTATCCTTATAGGAAAAATGCCCAATGTTTTGCCTTTGAAATGAAATATGTGACAACTATGTGATAATAAACATTTTTATCTTTACTGAAGAAACCTGAACTTTTTCCTACTGAAAACATTATTGAAGCCACGTATATTAAATAAAAGTAGCTTTCATTAAATTCTCATGATTTTGCACTTACAGGGGGGTCCATATTTCATTTCATATTTTTATTCAACTACAAAGCACGAGATAATACAAATAAAAAATCACAATTTACTATGTAGTTTGGACCCGCCTAACCAGAGTTGGTTGTTTTGATTGGTTGGCCCATTATAAGCGAAGAAGAATTGTAAATAAATAGATGGATGTACACTGTACAGAGTACATTTTAAACAAAACAATAATGATAAATCATGAATAAGGTAAGGAGGGGGCGAAAAAGTATAAGGGATAGTGTGGGTACTTAGCGGAAGGGTTGTAACAGAGGGTAACACATTTTATTAGAATCATGTTTATGAATTACAGGGTGTAGAAGATAGCAAAGACTAAGTTTATCCACATGAAAAACAGTTATTTTTTTACAGATATAACTTTATGAAAAGCCTTACATAAAAGTGTAATTGTAAAAGTAATTTTAAATATTTGTATACTTGAGTAACAGCTAGTCTTTAACCATTTTAAAACCGAAATATCCATATTTCAGACATTTTAATTATGAATATTGAATATTCCTAATTTAAGTTTGATTGTGTGTGAGAATAAAATTAGAATATTAAAGAATATTTTGTATATTTCTGGATGAGAGCGCCCGCATATCAATATTGATTTGAATATGACAAGGGGAGAATGATAACAAAATTTCCTAAAAACATTACAAATTTTCAAAAACAAAAAAAAATAATCATACTTTAATAAATGAGAAATTTTCGGATATTATAAAATATTAAAAGCAGTAATTTTCAATAATAAACGGCACATTATGCACTTTGTTTAACAACTTCATACTCTATAAAATAATCCTGTTATATATAATTATATATTACTAGCTGAAGGGCCCGGCGATGCCCGTGGAATAAAAAAATGAGAAAAAAATTGATTTTTGAAAAATCTAAATTTTAGAATTTGCTTAGCCTATGTTATCCCCAGGGTACCCATGGGTTCCCTCAAAAAATTCAGCCCATTCGGTCCTGCCGTTTGGCCGGCTATAGGGAGCATATGTACGAATGTCTTGTTTTATTATATTTTATCTCTGGCAGAAATCTGAAAAAGATTAAGTTTGCATAATAAACTCCTTTGTTTGATTTCTCTGAACCAGAACCAAGAAGACAAAAGTTTTGGTATTATTCAATATTTAGAATATTTTTATCTAAATACAAAAAGGTAAAAAAGGGCAATTAAGTATATTATTTATGTAATTAAAATTTATCCGTTTTAGATTTTGTCCTTGAAAATTGATTTAAAAAGTAATTTTTAGGAGTCCTAAGATGCTTTTTGTATAATTATCCCAAGGTTGAAATGTTGATATGAAATATAATTGTCCTTTTACAAGATTTCAACCATCTGCAATACAATCTGCAAAACTGCTCTGAATGGATCAAAGGAAAATCAAGGACAATCCGTATATAATTAGTTCCAAAAACGAAAAAAATGGTTAAGGGATTTCTGACATAGAAACAAACAAACAGGGATTAATACTTAATATTATTTAGATGTCTGTTCACAAAAGTAAATTAATGAGAAACATATATTTATTCCACATAAATTTCTTTAATATAAAACCAATGAAATATTATAAAATTGTCTCACATCGAACGAAGAAACTATAATCAAAAAATCATTTAATTAATTTTAAATTATCATAATCGTTGGACCAAGATAAAACAATTTGTAAGATTAATAAAATAATCATTCAAACTAAGACCAAACTTAACATAACGGGCTTCATCAGTTTTCACTTAACTTCCTAGTAGAGGGGGGGGGGGGAGGTGACTAAAAACACAAAAGGTTTACAATGGTTCCGAGTAACAAATAAACTACATTCCTGGTTCAAAGTTCGTATGGTTTAACCTTTGAAGATAAACTATTCAATCTAAATGGTCAAAAATCTAGATTTGAGCTATTTGAGCAAGGGTTTTGGGCGTATTCAGGATTCTTTCAAGGGAGGGGCATACACACTAATTTTACCTTTTAAAATTAGTAAAAATAATCAATATTGACTTAATCAAGATTTAAAAGAAAGTGTAAAAAAATGCATTGATATTTGAATACTAATAATGCAAAATCACTTTTCATTAAAATTTATTGTTGTATTATTTAATGAATAAACCTTATTAATAATATATATCCTTGATGTTTAATCTATACAAATGTTTTTATTGTACTGAGTCATCTACATTCTACATTCTACACCACCAGCTGTGCAATAGCTTAGAGGGAACTCAGCTCTTTTTATATTACAGGGATATATAATAACTAATAATAATTTTTAATGGCGGATTTTAAAAAAAGTTAAGGCAAAATTTAGGATCAAGTTCCACAAAAATAATAATAGATTGGAGCTCTCAGATAAAATTACATTATCCATGACTAAGACATTTAAATTCTTTTTTTTTATAATAACTTTTTTGCTCTGAAGATTTGAAAAGAAACTTGATAAAGAATGACGAAAGACATATTTTATAGCGATTGACAAGAAAGTTTGCTAAAAGAAGTTGATAAAAAAAATCTCATATTATAAAAATAAATATCTCTTTTAAATATTTTAAAATATCAGTGCTTAGGATTCGGAGCCTTTAGATCCGCAAGATTTTGGCTTCCTGGATCCAGATCCGCAAAAATGTGCGGATCCACGGATCCGGATCCAAGGGGTAAAATATCAACCAAAAACTGAAAAAAAAAATTTTTACTCCTAAAACCCAAATCTGAACTTTTGAAAAAAGAGAGATTATTAAAATTTCCTCATTTCTGAATGGTTCATCAAGTTTTAGGATAAAAATAAGACAACAAATTTGAAATTGCTTTTTGTTGTAAATCAGTAAAGAAATGACCTGGATCCGAATCCGGATCCATTTTTTCCAGTGCGGATCCAGGATCCGGATCCGGACCGGCATCAAAATTAAATGGATCCTAAGCACTGTAAAAATATTTTTAATATTTTAAAATATTAATAATATTAGACAAAATTGTCAACGAAACTTAAATTTTTATGTTTTTATGTAAATAGTGTATTTCAAAATTTATACCGGAAAATGTTTCCAGTCTGTTTCTGAAGCAGAAATCCGCCGCAAACTTTTTAAATTTTAAAAGGAAATAACCAAGATATCTCGACCGTGATTTTTGGATAAATACTTTAATTAATTTGAATGCTTAACAGCACTGGCCTAGAGATTACTTGATTTGAATTCAATATATCCATTTGTAAAAATATTTGAATAGTTGTAACTAATATTAATGACGATAATATTAAGAAACCTGGTAGAGAACACAAAAACCCTTGACAGCAGTCGTATAATCTCTTCTCTATACACTATACACTGAACACTTTACAGAGATAACAGAACAAACAAAAGAATATAATACCAGGGGTGTATATTCTTTATGAAAAACTTAAAAATATATTAAAAAATAAGTTTTTTTTGACTTAGGTAAAATAAGTGGCCAAAACTTTTTAAAAATCTTATGAAAATTATCTTACCTAGTTTGTTTTTTAATTGAGCAGATTAAGCTTGAATATAGCAAATAAAATTAGAATAGAAAAATTAAGTAGAAAACAATAGAACATAGTAAAAATAAACCCGAAAGATACCGATAAAAGGATAAAAAGCTTGAAAATATAAAAAATAATTGAATGAAAAACTGTGTGTCTAATAATTCAACCAGGAATCCAAGAAAACAATTCTATTAAACATGACAACTGGAGAGGGCTATAGAAAAATCTGGGCGATCAAAAACAGGTCTTGAACAAACTCTGTTACACAGCCTGTAAAAAATATCTTAGCATAGCCGAAAAACCCCTTATAAGTAAAGTTTAAGTATCCTTGGTTCTCTTGGTGTTAAGATTTATAACTAGTTTGAACTCTAAATGAAAAGGGGGGCGCTTGGACTTTCGTTTTAAGTTCTTTGGTTTATTTTAAAAAATAAGTACATCTCCCCCCCCCTTTCAGTCTTCACTGAAAACCTATCATGAACATGCATTAGCAACACCTCTAATCTTAGTCAAGTACGTTTTAAATAAGTTAAAAATTATCTTTGCATGGCAAATAAACCCCTCCAAGTATAGTTTAAGTATCCTTGGTTCCCTTGGTGTTCACATTTGAAACTAGTTTCAACTGTGAAGTTCTAAACCACCATGAGTCACACTGTAAACCAAACACTGGGAAATAAAATGTTTCAGTTCCAGGGGTGTCCAAAATTTAAATATTTTTTTTTTCAAACTTAACTATCAAATTTAAAATATTTTTTTTTGTGCAAAATTTCCCAGATTGAAAATAATTAACCCCTGTTTTCCCCTTGGCATTAAAAACCCCTGAACAACCTGTTGTGGCATATTTTTGGTGTTTACCATATTCTTTACAGTATCACGCAAACCTAAGCGAGAGCTATTTTACGCCAAATTTGAACCTAATATTAAGGGATTGTTCAGTTATTTTGATGAGATAAATTCTAGTTATTTCATTCTTTTGTCGTCTTCTATTTTACTTGTAAAGTTTCTAACTAAAGGAAACTAAAACTCGA